GAGAATAAAATCCAAATGAAGCTGTATGTTTATGATTTGGTTTCCGCCCAATCTCCATCTTCACCTCATACTTCTTTTCTATCTCACAGTGTTGCCCTTCTTTCTCAAACACACAGCTCTCTCCACTCTAGGGGCTTTGAAGTAGTTCCTTCTTCTTGAAATATTCCTCTCTTGGCTTTTAAGCCTCCCATTTCCTTTCAGCCATTAGGTCTTAGCACAAGAGTCACCACTTCAGAGAGGTCTCCTTTGGCCTCCCCTATCTAAAGAGGACCCCTTTTCAGTTAAACTCCATCATATTACCTGTTTATTTCAAAATTGTAAAATGTGAGCCTTTATACACATATGCATGGCCATATGTGCATATACACAGAAACACCACATCCACACATACACACACACACACACACACACACACACACACACTCTCCTGGAGGGCAAAGATCTTGCTCTTTGCTGAATTGCCAGCACTTGGAACAGTGGTGACTGGCACGTGCAAGGCTCTCGGCGCCTGAACAAACAGACCATTGTCCTTGTTGCCATTTTTCTGGCGAGAAAACTGAGGCACAGACAGATTAAGCAACTCTCCCAAAGCCACACAGTGGGGAAGCCAAGGAGCTGAGGGGTGAGCTCAGGTCTGTATGAGGCTTGTCTCCTGGAGAGTCCCCGCTGCAACCCCCCACTTCCCTGGCACAGACCTCCCAACAGCATCTCCTGCAGCAGGTTGTCAATCTTGGCCATGCCGAAGAGCTTGATGAACTGGATCTGCTCGATCATCTGCCAGGTGATGCTCTGTAGGGTGGGCAGCAGCAGTAGCAGCTCTCCAAAGCGGCCGCGCGAGTCGTACTGGCGGTCATTGATGTAGTCCTCCAAGCTCACCTGCACCTGGGAACGCAGCCGCTTGATCTTCCCTGGATCACTCAGCCCCTTGGCATCTACAAAGGCAAGGGAGGGCAGCAGGCAGTCAAGACCCAGATGTCCCCTGACTTGCGTCACACAAGGAGTCTTCAGCAGGGTGGGCACAAGGATTCAGGGACCTCAACAACCAGGGCACGCCAGCATGAACTGTGATTTCCTAGACACTGGCAGAAAAAGATTCCTGCCACATTTCCTAAGGGGCTAAGCCAGAAGAGTGGGAAATGGCAGACGGAGGGCGAGACTTGAGGAATGTACCCAGCAAGCACCTAGCAACCTCCTCATCTTACACATGGGGAAACTGAGTCACGGTACAAGGAAAGGACTTGTCCTGTGTCACACAGCCAGTGGTTGTTTGCAGAGCCACGATGGGAACGTGGGGTTTTTGGCCACAGTTGAGGTCCTCTTATTCCGACCTCAAGCACCTGCTGCTTCTACCATGCTAGAACAGGCTCCCCTTCCCTGGTCCCTGTTTCCTACCATCTTAGGGACTCAGGTTAGGTTTCACCTCCTCCAGGAAGTCTCCATTCTACTCTCCTATGCCTGTATCCTGTGTTCCTCCTGTTTCCAAATCTCTGTGGCTCCTCCATCACTGCTGACCACACAGGATGTAATTGTTGTGCCGTCCAACTGTGAGCTCTGTGTGGGCAGGCATATGGCTTATTTGCCATTTTATGTTTTATTTTATTTTATTTTAGACTGAGTGTCCCTCTGTCGCCCAGGCTTGAGTACAGTGATGCGATCTCAGCTCACTGCAACCCCCACTTGGGCTCAAGTGGTTCTCCTGCCTTAGCCTCCTGAGCAGCTGGGATTACAGGCACACGCCACCACGCCCAGCTAATTTTTGTATTTTAGTAGAGATGGAGTTTCACCATGTTAGCCATGCTGGTCTCAGACTCATGACCTCAAATAATCTGCCCGCCTCAGCCTCCCAAAGTGCTGGGATTACGGGTGTGAGCCACCACGCCTTTGCCATTTTAAACCCACCACCTAATACCATGCATAGTCAATATTTATTGAATAGGGCCAGACGCAGTGGCTCATGCCTGCAATCCCAGCACTTTGGGAGGCCAAGGCAGGAGGATTACTTGAGACCAGGAATTTGAGACCAGCCTGGCCAACATGGTGAAACCCCATCTCTACTAATAATACAAAAATTAGCCTGTAATCCCAGCTACTACGGAGGCTGAGGTGGGAGAATTGCTTGAAACTGGAAGGTGGAGGTTGCAGTGAGCTGAAATGGTGCCACTGCACTCCAGCTTGGGTGACAGACAATATGTGTGTGCCTGTGTATATATATATATATATATTTTTTTTTAACATAAATGTAATATATATTTATACAGATAAATATATATTTATATAAATATATATTATATTTAATATATATTTATTAATATATTTATTAATTTTATAAATAAATAAATAAATTTATTTATTAATACATATTATATTTACTATATATATTTATTAATATATTTATTAATTTTATAAATAAATAAATAAATTTATTTATTAATACATATTATATTTACTATATATATTTATTAATATATTTATTAATTTTATAAATAAATAAATAAATTTATTTATTAATACATATTATATTTACTATATATATTTATTAATATATTTATTAATTTTATAAATAAATAAATATATATATATATATATTTAGATGGGTGGAAGAATGAATGAAAAAAAATCAGTGACTAAATTCTAGATCCTTAGCCTAGAAGGGAACTTAAGAGGTCATCCAATATTTAATCTCAACCTTCATGGAGATAATGCATTTATTTCCTCTTTCATGGACAAAGGAAGTGACAGAAAGAACATTCACCCACATTTCTAGTGGGCTCTCTCCGCTGAATCATGTTTGTTCATTATTTCATTCAGCCTACAAACATTTATTGAGCATCTCCTGCATGCCAGGCCTTGAACTAGGTCCCCACCTCTTCAAATGGCTGGAGGCAGCTGCCTCTGACTCAGCATCAGTGATCCTGCCCATTTTGCCAAGCAATTCTGCCAGTCCAGCCTCCTGCTGAGCACTATAGAGGATACAGGCTGGGCCAGGCTCTGGAGGGACCCGGAACTAGAAATCTCACCTTCTGGGAAGTGTGGGATAGCATGTGGTGGGTAAGAATGTGGGCTTGAGAGAGAGAGAAATTGGGATCGATAGGTGGTCGGAAGTTCAAGCTCCGCCATTTTCTGGTTATGTGACCTTGGGCAAGTTAACCATGCCTCAGTTTCCTTATCTGTAAAGTGGAGATAATAATTCCTACTTCACAGGTGTCATGTTGGTAAGGAAGATAATCCACAAAAAGTGTTTAAAAACAGCTCTTTAGTGAGCGTTCAATCCATGCTGCTCATCTTCCTCTTTATCACTATATATATATATATACATTTTTTTTTTTGGGCACAGAGTTTTGCTCTTGTGGCCCAGGCTGGAGTGCAGTGGTGCAATCTTGGCTCACTGCAACCTTCACCTCCTGGGTTCAAGCGATTCTCCTGCCTCAGCCTCTGGAGTAGCTGGGATTATAGGCACCCACTACCACACCTGGATAATTTTTGTATTTTTAGTAGAGACAGTGTTTCACCACATTTACCAGACTGGTCTTGAACTCCTGGCCTCAGGTGACCCGCCTGTTTCTGTCTCCCAAAGTGCTGGGATTACAGGTGTGAGCCACCACATCCGGCCTTTTCATCACTATTATTACTAGAGGTAATCTATCTGCGACGTGAAGGGCAGTGCCTGGCACACAGTAGGTCCCCTCTAACATGTAAGCAGGGAAGGGAAGCAAACCTCCAGGGTTCAGGGACCTTTGACAGTAGGAAACAAAAGCAGGTTTTGCGCAAAGGCTGATGACAAAGGCATTCTGTGTAAATGCAGATGCAAAAGTCAGTCAACAGAGTGGGAACAGGAGAGCCGAGAGCCACAGGGGAGGGTGGGAATGCTTTATCTTCAACCGATGAAGGCCAGGCTGGTCTCGAGCCCCTGACCTCAGGTGATCCATCCACCTCGGCTTCCCAAAGTGCTGGATTATAGGCATGAGCCACCACGCCTGGCCATATCCTCCCTTTGAACCTTGACTTGCTTGATGTGTTAAATGAAAATGGCCTCACCTGGCTGTCGTTAACAGGAGATGAGGTTGTGAACTCAGTGTACATAACCCAATAGGAGAAGTCTGACAGAGGGTTCTGGAGAGAGAGTCAGGGATGGCTTAGGAGGTGTGCAGTGTACCTGGGTCAAAGAAGATGATGGCTTTGAGGTAGGCATACTCATTGTCATCGATCTGCAGCTCCTGGAAGGGCAGCACCAGCTCGTCAAGAATGCGCATGGACACCCGGCTCATCTCCGCCAGCTCTGGGCAGTGCCGAGGGACGATATAGTCATTGCCTGGATGGGTTGGGAAGGAGAGAGGATGCGAAGTCACCTTGGGTTGAGCCCTCTCCTCTAGTTTTGGTTTTTAAGTTGGGAAGATAGCTGGTGCCTGTGGGAGGAGGCCCTGCAGGGATGATCACTCCCATTTCACAGGTAAGGAAACTGAGGCGCAGATTCAGAAGGTGAGCTGCCTCGAGTCATCCAGCTGAGCTTGGAGCTTGGCTTTCTAAGACCCCTTTCACATGACCCAAGCTCCATTTACCAACATGATTCATAAGATTGATGACGTTCGAAGGCCACCTGGTGGGCACCAAAGCATCAAGGTGAAGGGACCAGATTCTGGAAGTGTACTGCCCTGCTTAAATGGCTCTGCCTCTGATAGCTGGGTATATTTGGATAAGTTACTCAGCCTTTCTGTGCGTCAGTTTTCTCATCTCTAAGATGAGGAAGAATAATTGAGCTTCCCGCATAGCATTGTTGTTTTAAAATAGGTAGTCTTTGCAGAGCAGTGAGCACAGTCTCTGGCACACAGTGTGTGCCGTACAAGCATCTCAAATAATAAATATGCCATGAAGGCACAGGTGACATGGGCTGGGGCTTTGTGACGTTCCTGACCACCTCTTGCTCCTGCTCCAGAAAGAACATCAGAACGCATAGGTAGGCTGGGTGCGGTGGCTCATGCCTGTAATCCCAGCACTTTGGGAGACTGAGGCAGGCGGATCATTTGAGGCCAGGAGTTTGAGACCAGCCTGGCTAACATGGTGAAACCCTGTTTCTACTAAAAATACAAAAATTTGCTGGGTGTGATGGTATGTGCCTGTAGTCCCAGCTACTCCAGAGGCAGGAGAATTGCTTGAAGCCGGCAGGTGGAGGCTGAAGTGAGCCGAGATCACACCATTTCACTCCAGCATAAGCGATAGGGCAAGACTCTGTCTTAAAAAAAAAAAGATGCACAGGTAATTCCAGGGACAACCCTGATTGTGCTCCGACTTTAATGCTGGGAATTTGATGCCTTGCGTCCATGTTTCCTTGCATCTGAGTGGCGTATCCAGTTGAGAACCGAGTCCTGGAATCCTCCATTTGCAAGCCTGAGGACAGGGCCACTCCTGACCAGTCTCCCTTGCCCCTGCATGCCACCATGTGATTCTCCTTGCTGGGTGAGTGCCATGCTAGGCACGTCCTCCACGGAGCCCCGGCCAGGGCAGGCAGCCTCCTCACCTAGGAGCAGCACGTCCTTGAATACCATGGATCGCTTGGTGGCTCCAAGCAGCAGGTGCTCGCCAGCATGGGCTCTGAGCAGGGCCACCTGAAAGAGAAAAGGAACCATGTCTGGCATCTGCACCCTTGGGAAGGCTGCTCGTAGCTAACTCAATGACATTGGGCAAGTCAGCTTAATGCTCCCCTCTGCCTCTACCTGCCTGAACTGTGAAACGGGCATCATAAAGTGACTGCCCATAAAACTAGAAACCTGGAAGGGATTCTGCAGAAACCTGGAAGGGGAAATAACGTGTGCTCAGAGCAGAGAGACCTCATGCTGACTCTGCCTCTGAAATGCCGTGTCCTTGGGCAACAAGCTGCTTCATGCTGGCCACCTTCTGTGTGCCTGATGAAATGGCAAGCAACATTCTGTGTGCTTTTTTCTCTTTTTTGAGATTCTCAAAAGGGTCTATGGTCCCAAAAAGTTCCAAAACTGTGGGTCCCAAATTCCCACCCATGGGCCAGCTATGGGGAATTATTAAGAGTGCTTTGTAAAAATACAGATTCTATTTTTTTTTTTTTTTTTTTGAGACAGAGTCTCACTCTGTTGCCCAGGCTAGAGTTCAGTGGCATGATCTTGGCTTACTGCAACCTCCGCCTCCCAGATTCAAGTGATTCTTGTGCCTAAGCCTCCCAAGTAGCTGAGACTACAGGTGTGCGCCACCATGCCTTACCATTTTATTTTTATTTTTAGTAGAGACAGGACTTCACTATATTGGCCAGGCTGATCTCAAACTCCTGACCTCAGGTGATCCACCCAACTCGGCCTCCTAAAGTGCTGGGATTACAGGTGTGAGCCACTGCGCCTGGCCTGAAAATACAGATTCTTAGGCCCTGAGATTCTGATCCCTATTCTGTATGTTTAGGGTGGGTCCAGGGATCTGTGTTTAGTAAGTGCCTCAGTTGACTCAGAAACGTAATCCTGTTGGGGAAATCACTGGTCTGGCAGATCCCTCCAGGGATCTTCCCACTGGACATTGCAGGACTCCAGGGTGCTGAGAGGGCATTACAAGAACATGGATGTGGATGCTGGGTCTCGGGGTTGGTCCTTCTCAAGGCAAAGGTATGAACACTGGTCCCTGGCAGAGAATCAGCTCGATGTACAAGGCAAGACTTCAAAGACTGGAGTCGTAGGTAGGGGCCCAGCAAGCTTGCGGAAGGACAGAGCCAGCCACTGAGAACCATCTGCTTTAGTGCTTGCCCAAGGACCAAAGGATGGCCTGGCACAAAGCCGCGCCAGGCTGGTAGCCTCAAGGATCTTATCTTCAGGGCTGGGTTAGGGAGTCTGAAAGTTCTATAGCAAGCCAAACCAGAAGGTTAAAATGCCTTTTTTTGTTCATTCATTTGATTGTTCATTCTTTCAGTTATCAAATCCTAAATGCCTACTAAATCCCAGACAGTTTTTAAGACAATGGAGGCACCATGTTAAAAATGAGAGACAAGGTCTCTAGTCTCACGGAACTCACATTTTATAGGGGAGGGTGTAGAACAGATAGTTTAGAACAAGTAAGTGCACAGGACAGAGGATGATCACAACACGAAGGAAAGAAGGAAGGAGAGGGAGGAAGGAAAGAAGGAGGAAAGGTGGGAGCAAGGGAAGAAGGGAGGGAGGGGAGTAGAAAGGATGATGGCAGCAATGGGGTGAGAATGGCTACGTCAGATGAGGAGGTCAGAGAAGACCTCTAAGGAGGTGAAATTGTCAGAGGGAAAAAGAGATTTGCCTGAAGGTACTTGGCACAAAATAAGCCTCCAATAAATATTTGAATGAAGGAAGGAAGGAAAGGGGAAGTGAATGAATGAATGAGCAAACAAACTGACTTCCTCTCTCGCTCTAGCTGCTCCTGGGCAGCCGCTTGTCCTCACCCCTTCTATCTTCCATGGATAGAACCTTGTGAGGAGAACAGAAAAAGAGGAAATTGCCTGGGAAGTGAAACCCACTTTCCATGACTGGCGTGGAGGGAGGCCAAGGATGCTGACGGCCGAGCGCCTGCCGTGGCAGGCACTGTGCAAGGCTTTCGTCAGTCACCCAGTGGCCTTCACACCGTGAGGCCGAAGACCTGGATTTGAGTCCCAGCTCTGGGGCTAACTTGCTCTGTGACGTCAGGCAAATTGCTTTATCTCTCTAAGCCCTGATCTCTTTCTCCAATTGTATCCAGCCCCAAGAAGCACACAAACTGGGAAACTAGTTCCTGGGGCAATGTCGACAGAATTGGGGGGCCCTTTGGAGGACAATGCCCCTGACTTTCCCTGGGGTGCCCCACTGGCATTGGGCAAGCTGGGCTCCTCATACACCAGGAATGGGGAGCTGAGAACCCTTCTGGTCCCAGGTTCAATCCCTTGACATGGCAGCTGTTCTGGGGGTGGGCCGGGAGGTCAGGGTGGTGTGTTAATGATTGTCCTGTGCTATTGGCCACCCATCATTGCTCTCTGAGAATGCTCTGAGCCCCAGCCAGGGAGGTTTGGGTGGGAAATTGAGGTTAACAATTGCTCAGGTTGGGGGTATCTTGTTGCCCTGCTAAGCCCCTGGGAAGGAACAGGAGGGATTAAACATTAATGTGGAGACTCCAGCAGAGGGGACTGGGGCCAGAGCACAAGGAGCAGGGGAGAGGGTAGGGGCAGATTGTCCAAGATCCTTGTCCCGTCAATTCTGCTAACGGAGGGAGGAGTCATCGAAGAGGGCCTTGGGTCCAGCCTCTGCATGAGGCTGGGGACCAGCCAAACCAGCGTTTTCACAGTGTCCCAGTGTGCAGGTTTAATAGGTGTTCCAGGAGAATCTTGGGGCTTTGGGAGTTTGGGAAGCCCTGGTGTCTGTGAAGCCAAACAACTGTCTGGACGAGGCTTCTCAGAAGCTTTCACAGGCCGATACGCATTGTCAGTGTCTTATGCAAAGGTGCAAAACAGGTAAGCGAATGCACCAGAGGCTTTCTCCGAAGCTGGGGAGGTGGCCCAGCCCAGCTCCTCTTTCCAACAGGAAACAAGGCGTGCTCTGGGCAGGAGCTTCGTAGGTGGCATCTCTGAAATTCACCTGTCCTCAGACACACACCACCTTCCTCCAACCCTTTCTTCCCCCAGGGATGTTTTAGTATTCCAAAAAAACGTACGGTGGGAACTATGACGCGGAGTTCAACTGCTTTGTTGGGAAACAAGGAAGAAACTATGTTTAGGGAGAGTGGCTGTGGTCCAGCCAAGGTACAGCTCGCTCCATTACCTGAATTTTGCACTTTTCAGGCAGTAATGTCCTCAGTCCTCCCAACCACACTCTGAAGTGGCCATTATCATTTCCACTTGACAGATAAGAGAACACTGAGGCTGAGAGAGAAGTAATCTGTCCAGGATTACCCAGACAACCAGTCTTAGAGCCAGAGCTTAAACTAAAATCTCCTGATCCCTGTCCCAGGGTCCCTGTCAACATCCCCCTGGGAGCGCTGCATGGTGCAATGCTTTGGGAGCTTGGACTTTGGAGCTTCCCTGCCGGGGTTCTAATCCCAGCTGTGCTGGACAGTAGCTAGTGACCTTGAGCAGGTTACTTAACCTCTCTGTGCCCCAATTTCCTCACCTATGAGATGGCTGTAATAATAGTCCCTTCGTGTCTACCTCATAGAGTTGTTGGAGGAGCTGAGTTAATATTTGTAAGGTGATTTCAACAGTTTCAGACACATATGTGCACTACGCATTTTGTTAAATAAAATGAAGCCAGTCCGGAGCTGTATTCCAGGTGAGCCAGCCGCATCCTGGCTGCCCGGTGCCCACTACTGCCCACCATCCACGCCCACCCTCACCTGGTCGTCTAGGGGGAGCTCGCAGAAAGCTGGGATGTACTTGGCCCACTCGACGAGAACCAGCAGCTGCTCCTTCATGGACTCACACACATCTGCGATGCTGGCGATCTTCTTAGCTCGAATGTCGCCATTGATCCCGGAGACGGGGGAGGTGATCTTCGAGAGATACAGGGAAAAACATGCTGGAGATGTTTGGGCCCTCCTGCACTCTCTGCCCTCGGAACAGAGCCCCCTCCCTGGAGTCAGGTGTTGGGAGGAAGCTGGACAGTGGGTGCCTTCCAGCTCTGAAGGAAGCTCGGGGGAAAAACAGTGGGAGGGAGGAGGCAGGGATGAGGGAGAGGGGCTGCCTCTGGGTCTTCACTTGCTACCTGCCCCCTGCCTCCTCCTCTATCGGCTTTAGAGCTCCAAGGAGTCTCTCAGCCTTAGAGGAGAAGCAGGGCAAAAAATGGTCATCATAATCTGACAACGAGGCAACCATGGCTCAGAGAGGTGCTGTGACTTGCCCAAGGTCACACAGCAAGGGATGGACTGGGCCCCATTTTGCCACCTCTGTGCACTGACCCACTGGTCTGTTCTCTCGGGGCTGAGCTGATTGCAGGCCCCCAGTGAATGTGAAGACTCTGCTTGGCCTGTGGGAGGCAGGTGGCACAATGAACTAGAAAGGACCCCAGGGCGCCAGGTTCAAGTTCTGCCTTTGCTGCTAACTGGGCCATGTGACACTGGATTCAGTGTCCCTTCTGTAATATCTGAGGGCCCTCCCATCAGCCGCTCCAGGGCCTGGCAGGGGAGAATGGAGGTGGAGGAGGTAAGCTCCTCTGTAGTGTGGGGCATCCCTGGGTGGGCGGCAGGGTCACCCTGGTACCTGTCGGGACAGGACCTCTGCCTGCAGGAGCGCGTTGATGGAGGGCAGGCTGCTGTCCTCATAGCTTGACCTCCGAGTGCTGATCCGGTCCCGCTCATTTTGAACGGCTGTGAGGAGGCAGAGAGAGGTGAGCAGGGAGAGCAGGGGTGGAGTGAGGGGGTAGGGGTGTCTGTGACTGATGAGGAGTGGGAGCAGGAGGCGGGGGTGTCCATAAGACAGATCCACATCAGCATGTGGAATGAGGGGAGACGGGCTCTAACTCAGCTGGTGGAAGAACTTTCTGCATATCTGAACTGCCCCCCCACACAATGGAGAGGCTACAGGAGTGATCCACCCATCATGATGGGCATGCAAGCCAGTGATGACTCAACTATGGGCTTAAAACGGGTCTTGAGCATTGAGGAGGGGATCCGACCAGATTAAAGATGTTCAAGCTCTGGTCTACAAAAGGGTCCCTTTCTTTCCCAATGAAAGTGATTAAAGCAAGCAAAACAAATTGCTCTGGGTGACACGGAGCCGGCCTGGGGATTCCTGAACAAAGGGATCTGGGGGCTCCAATTGCCCTGATGATTTTTTCCATCCGCAGAAGCTGCCTGTACTCCACACTAACCTTCCCAGCGTCAGCAAGGCCAGGCGCCTCCGTCCCTCCCACCACTGCTCTGTTCCGGGCACTGTCCACTGGGGCCCCAGGCTCCACTGCCCACCCCCATCTGGGTCAGTCCTGGCCTGAGATAGAAGATGATCCCTCTACCGCCCCGACAGTGGATGGGATAGACCTTGGAGTCCAAGAGGCTTCACTGTGGAATGAGGCTTGGCTGATTTGGAAAGGAGGGAGCATGAAGCTGCATGAGGTCTGGCTTCCTGTCTGGAACCTGCCACTCTGGGTGCCCGTGGCAATCGCAGCCTCTCTCTGGGCCTCAGTTTCCCTACCTGTAGGCATTTCTCTCCCAGCCAGCTCCCTGCACTCTGTCTCATCTCAGGGACCGGCAGGTAGGTTTTTCCAGTCCCTCAAGCCTGGGCACCTTCCTCGGCTTCCCCTCACACCCCAGTGCTGTCAGTGATCATGACAAACAGACCCGCTGCTCCCTCCCTGCTCCGGCTACTGTCTCTCGGATTAGATCCACCTCCTCCTGGGTTCTGCTTCTGCCTTGCGCCTGCAGTCTGTGTTCCTCTCAGAGACAGAGAGATCCGTTCAAACACATCCAAGTCATGTCCCCTGCTGCTCAAAACCAGTGCCTTCCAACCTCACAAGTCCTCAAGGTCCTTCCTCTCCTCTCTGATTGCCCCTTTTACTAGCTTCCTCCCACCCACTCTGTCCCGGAAAACCCACCTCCCGCCTGGATACATCCGCACATTGCTGGGCTGCTGTTGTCACCGCCTGGGGTGGTTCCCTTTCCCACACAGCACTGCTGCATCTTCATTTCACTCCTGCCTCTGTGCAAATGTCGCCTTTCAGACACCCTCTCCAGCCACCCTGTCTAACACAGCATACCACCAACCCTGGCCCTTCCCCACCGCGGTTTTTCTTCAAGGGACTTATTGTAGAATTATTTGTTACTTCCTTTACTCTCTGTCTCTTTCTGAGAAGGAAAGCTTCAGAAGGCCAAAACTCCATCCCTCTAGTTCACTGCTATAGTCCCAGCCACCAGAACAGAGCCTGGTACACAGTAGGTGCTCAATAAATATTTGTGCAGTGAGAGACAAAAGGCATTGGAGGAGACAAGCTCTAATTATTATTATTTTTTTTCCCAGACAGGGTCTCATTCTGTCGCCCAGGCTGGAGTGCAGTGGCACGATCATAGCTCACTGCAGCCTCAACCTCCTTGGCTCAAGTGATTCCCCTGCCTCAGCCTCCTGAATAGCTGGGATTACAGGTGTGTGCCATCATGCCTGGATAATTTTTTTTTTTTTTTGAGACAGACGAAGCTCTCATTATGTTGCCCAGGCTGGTCTTGAACTCCTGGCTTCAAGTGATCCTCTCAGCCTCACAAAATGCTGGGATTACAGGTGTGAAGCACCAAGCTAGTCATAAATTCTCATTCTTATAAGCACCCTTTTTCTCTAGGGAACATTGACACCCCCGCGATTCAACGTTCTCTTGATGTTGACACATTGGTAAAATCAGAGAATAAAAGTTGAATCATCTGCACTGAGCTGGGGAGTCAGTGGGATAGAACAGAAGTCCAGAGGCAAGCCACCTCCTCTCAGACCCACCACGTGCATGGGGCCAGCTCAGAGCACGGCTCCCCTGCCCGGGCCGTCTGCCCCGCCCCCCCACCCCTCCCACGGCAGCCTCCTGCCAGCACCCGCACCCACCCACCAGGGCGCCGAGTGGCCGGCGGGCGGAATGAAAGGGCTGCTGTCAGCAGCTGCGGATAGGGCTCCTCAAGGTTAGGCGAGCGTTATCAGTGCCCGGCGCGAGCTCAGTCACGGAATGATGTTTTCCAAATGTTTGCTCAGTATTAGCAGGGTCGGGGACCTAATGTAACTTCTATTGAATATTAACCGACCTGGGCAGAGGCAGAGAGGAGATGAGCGTGTCTTCCCAGAGAACTCTTGGGTAGTTGAAGTTGGATGAGACAGGCTCAATCCCATAGAAAACTGGTGAGGAGCAGGGCCGGGGCTTCTGAGGAAGGTCCCATCAGACGGACTCTGGCCCATCACCAATGCTCACCTCCTGCAACCCTGGGTCCGCTCTCTGGGCTGGGTTTTGGATGCTGGGAGCCAGTATCTGTCCTGGGCCTGACAACTGAGGCCCAAGCAGGTGACTGTCTCCCTGGCTTTGGGTTACAGGAAAGAATCCTTGGCCTGCTGTTGGCCCATTGACCCCCCCAGTGTTGTCCCTGGAGTCTTTGTCCCTCCAGGGAGCCCCTTCCAGCCATGGTATAATATCCTCTGGCAGAGACTTACAGGCCCATGAGACCTGGAGCCCTTCTCTGTGGTTGAGAGAAAGTTTTAGCAATCCAGATCAAGAAATGTACCTCCTTAAGAGATTCTACTTGTGGAAGAAAAAAAAAAAAAAAAGAAAAGAAATGTACCTCTTACACTGATCACTGCAAGTTTCACTCCAGGGAGCTTGGCGTCTGCTCAGCTCTGGGGAGCCTGAGTTCTAGACCTGACCTCATGCCTGACCCATCACCTCACCTCTCTAGCCTCAGTGTCCTTTTCTGTAAAGTTGGGCAGCAGGCAGATTTGATGACCTCTTACAGGCTCAGCTGGTTTCAAAATCCTACCTTCCCAGCTTACACTTTCTGGTTCTCAGGGACTATTTTTGGGTTTTAGTCCCCAAATTCCCCTAAGGTCATCAAGAAAAAGAAATGAAAACTTGTCCCAATTCTCCTGGTCAGTGAGATTTCCGCCAGGACTTTCTTTTGACTTTGGGAGCTCCCCAGTAGGCCGAGAAGGAGTGGTGGGGCCTAGAAGACTTAGGTAGAGCTAGGAATACCCTCACTTCCCACAGCTTGACCGCAGTGGCAACTGAGCACTTTGCCACTCTGGCCCGTTGTCAAAACAACCAAGTGACTGCATGTGTCATGATCTTCCAGGTAACTCAGGCATGTAAACAACGTTGACTAACCCACACGCACTTGTCATCAGCCAGCTCTCCTATCCTCCAGCCAGCATGTCAGTTTCCCTGGGCCAGGAAGCAAGCAGCTATTTTCAAGGCTGAGCTAAGGCTGAACGGTCTGACGCTCTCATCCCCCTTCCAGGTACCTGGTAAGAGGTTTGCTGGTTTTGCAGCAGCTCAAGAGCGAGGGCTGGGCGTGGTGGCTCACACCTGTAATCCCAGCACTTTGGGAGGCCGAGGTGGGAAGATCACCTGAGGTCAGGGGTTCAAGACCAGCCTGGCCAATATGGTGAAGCCCCGTCTCTACTAAAAATACAAAATTAGCCGGGCATGGTAGCACACACCTGTAATACCAGCTGCTTGGGAGGCTGAGGCAGGAGAATCACTTGAACCCAGGAGGTAGAGGTTGCAGTGAGCCGAGATCGGACCAGGGAACAAACATACCCACCCTCGTGGGCAGTGTGAACTTGTGCAGGTAGGTGGGGAGTGAGGATCGAGACTCATAGGGCTGAAGGGTTCACTATCCAATGTCCTCATTTTATAGATGCGAAAACTGGAGCCCAGAAGGGACAGAAATGTCCCTAAATTACACAAGTGAAAATGACTCTGGATGTCTAATAAGAGACATTATTTGTAACAACTGACCACACGCAGGACCAGGCCACACGCAGTGGAGGTGGGTAGCCATCCACTCAGGAGGGCTGCCAACCCCTCTCCCACCTGCCTGTCACAGACCTGAACCTCCATTGTGAGAGAGTCCTTCTCCCAAACCAGTGCCCTCTGGATGACACCTATGAGCAATCATAGTGCCTAAAATCCTAGGCTTTGGGGACAAAGGAATCGCGGACTATTACAACCACAAAAATGTCAGAACCTTAGACTGTAGTTCTCCACCGTTTTCTTGCCTCCACCTGTTCACACGTGCATCATGTTCTCATTCATTACTGTTCTCAGTCCACAAAGTGGAAGCTGAAGTGGATGAGGCTCAACCCCATTGAAATCTGGGTTGGGAAGAAGAAGGAGTATTTGCAGCTTGAAAAAGCCCCTCTTGTCCTCGGAACACCACTGAGGTCTACATGTTAGAATTGCAGTGTTTAGAGCAGGCCTTGGGGACCACCCGCTCCTGCATCGGGATCAGCGAGCCCAGATTTTCCAAGACAGCTCATGAACTCAAACTAAGGCCCTGTAAGGAGGAGACATAGAAGGTATTTCCAAGGGAGGGGAGAGAAAACAGGGGGCCAGGAGCAGATGCAGGGGAAAGAGAGGCTGCCAAAACCCCCCCTCCCCTCCTTCTCAGTGGGCCCTGGCGCAAGCTGGGTCCTAGGTTCCTGCTTCTGGGTGTGCTGGGGAGTGGGGGGTGTATGTAAAAAACTAGCAGGACTGGCCGGGCGCGGTGGTTCAAGCCTGTAATCCCAGCACTTTGGGAGGCCGAGGCGGGTGGATCACGAGGTCAAGAGATCGAGACCATCCTGGTCAACATGGTGAAACCCCGTCTCTACTAAAAATACAAAAAATTAGCTGGGCATGGTGGCGTGTGCCTGTAATCCCAGCTACTCAGGAGGCTGAGGCAGGAGAATTGCCTGAACCCAGGAGGCGGAGGTTGCGGTGAGCCGAGATCGTGCCATTGCACTCCAGCCTGGGTAGCAAGAGCGAAACTCCGTCTCAAAAAAAAAAAAAAAAAAAAAAAAAAAAAAAAAAAAAAAAAAAAAAAAAAAAAAAAAAAAAAAAAAACTAGCAGGACTAGGCCAAGGTTTGGCTGCAGGCTAGAAGCAAAGGTCTGGGGCTGGTCACAGAGCTGAGAAAGGTTGTGTTTAGAGGAGCAGGAAACGAAGAGATTGGAAAATAAACTCAAGTTATTATCATTTTTTTTTTTTTTGAGAGATAGAAAGTCTCGTTCTGTTGCCCAGTCTGGAGTGCAGTGGCATGATCTTGGCTCACTGGCAATGGGCCGAATGCAATTTTAAACATCCCTGGGATTTGGAGGGCATAAAGCAATAGGCAGCCAAATGTGGTCCAAGCAGCACAAAGCTCTAGTTCAGCCTCAGACCTTCCAAGCATCAGTTGTGGGACCCTAGGCAAGTTGTTAAAAAATTGTGGGCCTCAGTTCCTTCATCCACGAAAAGGGAGGAATTATAATAGGGTCAATGGGCTGGGTTCATTTCATTTTCATGACGTTTTCCCACATAGGGTTGTCACGGAAACGAAAGGAACTCAGCCCATTGAAGTGTGGAAAAAGCCCAGCCCAGTGACTGATATCTCCTGGTAGCAGAAGGCCTGGCAAGACCTTAATAAATGTTGTGCTCTGGTCTTCTCGCCCTCCCTCGTCCAGGATGGTTCTGGGGTCTTGTTTCCACTTTCTCTCTTTTTTTATTTTTTTGAGATGGAGTCTCTCACTGTCCCCCGGGCTGGAGTGCAATGGCACAATCTCGGCTCAGGGCAACCTCTGCCTCCTGGGTTCACACGATTCTCCTGCCTCAGCCTCCCGAGTAGCTGGGATTACAGGTGCATACCACCACTCCCGGCTAATTTTTTGTATTTTTAATAGAGACAAGGTTTCACTATGTTGGCCAGGCTGGTCTCAAACTTCCGACCTCGTGATCCGCCCGCCTCGGCCTCTCAAAGTGCTGGGATTACAGTCATGAGCAGCCGCACTCGGCCTTGTTCCAATTTTCTAGAATGTGAAGATTTTGGAAATTGCCTGATATTCATGGATGAATAGTAAGGGAATTGGGGTGCTTGTCCCTGTCACAAAAATTCAAGAATCGGGCTCCTCTGGTTGTCCCCTTTGTGAAGTTGGGGTGGTGAGTTCGCAGATGTTTACAATGTCATTCTCTATGCTTGTCCTAATGTTCGAAATATTATATTAAAAAAAACCAAACACCCGACGTGGCTGCCTTGTGGTGGCACAGACAGGCAGGCAGGCAGGGGTGGTGGTTGCTGGGAGCCTGAAGAGCCAAGAGTGGGAGCTTATCTCTCTGAATCTTTCTCAAGACCAAGCCCAGCCGCTCCCTATGGTCAGATTTCCAGGCCCTCCCTCTTCTCGGCCATTAGCCAGTCACCCTGGGGCCTGGCACTGAGTCATAAAGTGTGGCTGCAGTTGTAAATGACTGTCGGGGAGCTGTGGGCGCAGGTGGGGCAGTGGGGAGGGGGGCCGAGGCTCACCTTCCTTCTTCATGCCAGCCCGGAAGCACTTCTTGAGCCTGCAGTAGCGGCACTGGTTCCTCTTGTCTTTGTCCACCACGCACTGCCGGCTAAATCTGGGGAGGGCTTTGGATGGTTGGATGGAGAAGACACAGCTTCCTCCTCTTAGAACAGAACTAGGGCCCTGGCTATCCAGTGGACCCCCAGCCTCAGTGGTCTCATCCCTTCATCCCAGGACTTCTCCCTTGAACCCACCAGGAGCTGGAGAGGTGCTACGACCTAAGGCTCCAGTCCTCTCCTGCTAAACAAGGGGAAACTGAGGCTCAGAGAGGCAATGTGTGGTCCTGGGTGACTCTGCTGGTTGAGGTTAGAGCTGAGTTGGCAAACTTGACCTCTCAGGTACCAGAGCCCTGCTATTTCCACTGCATTCTATAAAAGCCCGGAACCCATAGCAGGCTCTTGGTTATGGCTCAGAGTTAATGCTTGGTTCACATAAGCCTCTCTCTGGAGCGGGGTGGGAAGTAGAGGCCGAGTCACACAGTGCTGACGGGCGGGGCCCTGAGTGGCGGGCTCTGCCATGGATTCCAGCTGGTTGACCTTGGGCAGATACCTAGCCCTCCACAGCTTCCTCCTCTATAAAATGGGAATAACAACAGTAACCATCTCACAGGGGTGTTGGCAGGTGAAACGAAGTCATGCACCGATGGGGCACGGTATCTGCACATGACAAGTGCCACAGTTGACAGCTGCCATGATTTTATTGTTGTGATTACCCCCAACAGGAGATGCTTTTGAAAGAGGGCTCTCCAGGGCCTTGGGAAGAATTTGGGGTTGGTGGAAGCCCTTGGGGTAGGTGGAATGGCATGGGGTCAATCTCCTATTTGTCCCAGAAAAAGCACCAGACGGGAAGATGGGTTCATCTACCAAGGCTTCAGAAGAGGCCTCGTGGAATGGGAAAAATGACAATGGGCTTAAGGGGTTAAATACACACGAAGACTTAGTATGGCGCCTGGCATTGGATAAGAGCTTGATAAAAGGCAGCCAGTAGCCTGATGATCAGTAAATGTGGTTCCTAGAATAGATGCCCTCTGGATGTACAAAGCCTACAAAACCCGAAGAGCCTTGAAAGCTGTGAAGGGTAGCTGTCTCTGGGACCCACTCAGGGAGAAGACAGACCTGGGGACATGAACCCAAGTGTGCCCATTTCCCAGCTGGAGAAACTGAGGCTCCTCACCTGCAGGAGTACATGTGGTTCTTCCGCACGCTCCTCCGGAAGAAGCCCTTGCAGCCGTCACAGCTCGAGGCACCGTAGTGTTTGCCTGTGGCCCGGTCCCCGCAGATGGCACACAAGGCGCTGACACCCAGGCTGTTGGGCGCGTTGAGGTTGGTGCCTTCTGACGGGGACGTGTCTGTGGCAGGAGAGGAGGAAGTGAGGCTTCAGGAAGAACAGAAAGGCAGGCATCTAAGGGAGCCCTGCGGGGATCCCTCCAGGGCTTCCGCCTCAGCCATATCCGGGGGCTGTTCCCACTCCATCGCCTCCCTGCTCAGTGACCTCCTGATTTTTGGAGCTTCAGTTTCACATCTGTAAATTGGGGCTGGTGGTGACTTCACAGAGCTGATTCTGAGGGTGTGCATCTCCCTGTGGTGGAGGCCACGAGCCCCAGCGGTCTCTAGGCAGGCATGAAAACCTGGCCACAGGGTGAGAGCCTGCTCCAAACTGGGGAGGGGGCTGCGGAAGGGAGAAACATTCCCCCCAGAACCAGGTCCTGTCCCTCAGTTCTCACCCAGTGACCACCAAGGCTGGGTGGATCTCAGCTGCGTGCCCAGGGGCCCCGCAAATTCTCTGGGGAACAGGAAAGACTTGGGCCGAGAACAGTCACTCATGTGGCCTCCTGGGAGGGTCTGGACATGGCTCCCATCCCTCTCATCCCACAGGCAAAAGCTACTGCATCTACACAAATGTGAGGGGGGCCATAGAGGCAGGTGGCAAAGAGGATCTCGGGCCGGGTGCCAGGAGTCCTGGGCACTAGTGCTGATGCTGCCACTAACTTGCCTGTAAACTTGGGCAACTTCTTCTCCTTGCTTCAATTTCTTCTGGGCCTCAGTTTCTCTAACCATAAAAGGGAGCAGTTTGGTCTGTTTCCAAAGTTTAAAAAATAGCAGCAGCTGAACCTCCTTTTTGTCAGTAAATCTTTCACCAAAGATACACCCCTTTGGAGAAGGTAACAAATGCAATGGTTCAGCCCCCAGGAAAATGCAAGTGTGTGTGCCATGCAGTCCACACACACACATGCCACACACAAGCACACACACACACACACCACCCAGTCCACACACATGCAGACAGACACACATCACACAGTCACATACACACATGAACACACACCACAGTCCACATACACCACCCAGTCCACACACACGCCACATACACACACATGCCACACACAAGCACACACACATGCACCACACAGTCCACACACATGCACACACACACCACAGTCACATACACATGTACACACACACACACACTGCAGTCCACATACACCACACAGTCCACATACAGACACACGCCACACACAAGCACACACACACACCACACAGTCACATACACATGCACATACACACACGAACACACACCACAGTCCACACACACCACACAGTCCACATACACACACACGCCACACACAAGCACACACACCACACAGTCCACACACATGCACACAGACACACACCACACAGTCACATACACATGCACACACACAAACAAATACCGCAGTCCACATGCACCACACAGTCCACATACAGACACACGCCACACACAAGCACACAGTCACATACACATGCACACACACACACGAACACACACCACAGTCCACACACACCACACAGTCCACATACATCACACAGTCCACACAGTCCACACATATGCACACAGACACACACCACACAGTCACATACACACACACACACACACGAACACACACCACAGTCCACATACACTACACAGTCCACACACAACCACACACACCATACAGTCCACACGCACATGCACACACACAGGTGCGCACATGCACGCACACACACAGGCACATATACCACAGTCCACACACATGCAGACACACACCACATACCACACACACACCACAGAGTCCACAAACAACCACACACACACAGACATATACAGTCTACACATGCACACAAATGTGCACACACACAACATACACACATGAACACACAATATGCATACATACACATATCAACAAACATATATATACACGTGTGCACACATACCTATACAGACATACACATAGTCCACACACACATACACACATGCACACCTACACACAGACACATACACACATGCACACACACATACATACACACACACATATGTATTCATAGAAATCCTGAATTGGACCTTGGATTCCTTGGAGTCATCCAGTTAAGACCCGGAGAGGGCCATGCGCTGTAGGTAACAGCACAGCCCCTGAAAGCCTTCTGCCCAGGGTTCAATCCCAGCCTGCCCACTCTTCAGCCATGTGACGTTGGCTGTGTTCATTTACTTCTCTATGCCTTTGTGTCCTCACTTGTAAAATAGGAAACATGACATTCCCCTAGGTTTGTTATGGAGATTCGGTGAATTCTCATATGTGTATGTGAAGTGCTTGCCACGTGGTAAGCCCTATATCAGTGTTTGTGAAATAAAAACTTTTCTGCAGAAGAAAACTCTCGGAGCAGAGGACTTCCAGGCTCCGTGCACAAGCAGACACTGCCGTGTCTCATTTCTGCCATCGCAGACTCCCGGGTGTCCCCAGGAGTGCAGCCCCCCTCCACTTGGTGAATTATTCCTAGAGATGGCGATAATTGTTAAGCTGCATGGGTGCCCTTTCTCCCTCAGCCTCTCCTCCCCCGACCCCCAGGGAGAGCTGACCCCAGAGCTCCTGGCTGTTCAGCAGGAGGCTGGGGAAGGATCGCCCACCTCGGGGGCAGGATGGGCTGGGGGCTGTCAGCTCTATCATCTCCCCTCTGAGGTCAGCCAAACACCTCCATTCCACAGGTGAGGACACTGAGACTTAGAGAGGACAAGTGGCTTCCTGATGTCATCACACTGCTTGCGGTGAAGCAGAGGCATGGGCTTATGGTCCAGGTGTGCTGGGCTACTCTGGCCAGAGCCACACATGTTGAGGTGTCTGCTGGGGCTTCTAATGAACAAGGAGCCCCCGAGGCTGCTGCTGCATTGGAATAGCGAGTGGGTGGGGGAGAAATATCCTTTGAGCCTTTGAACCACCAGCTCAAGATGTACCTAAAACACTTTGGAGTACAACATCACATAACCCCAATTCAGAACACTTCAAACTCCAGCAAGGAATACTGGGGACCCTGCTTACAGATGCTCAGACCCTTGAGATGACCCATGTTGGGGCCAGGACCCTTTACCAGGGTTCAGCACCCAGGCACCTTGTATTTATCCTCTGGCCAGCCCTGGGAGACAGACACAATTACATATTCCCATCTTATAGATGAGGAAACTGAGACTCAGAGAGGAAACTGCCTTGCCGCATTCACACAGGTTGGAAGGATCCATGCCCGATTTGAGTCTAGATCTTTCTGGTTCCAGAGCTGGAGGTGGTCTTGTCTTGGGGACACCCAGTTCAGGGGCTTGGCCTCTGCCTCAGGAGCACACAGTTCCTAGGCTTTGAAAAAGCGATGGGGGCAGGGGACAGCCAGGGCAGGGCAGTGATCCTCCTGGGGACACATGACACTCTGGACACTCTGTCTCGTGCGGCAGCAGCTTGTTTAGCATCTCCAGGACGTTTTTGCCTTGAGCTCCTTGCATGGTCCTCAGACAGGCCTAAAAGCTGGCCAGCCACCAGGCCTGGGGGAATGAAGCCCATTTTGTAGAAGATACAGAAGCCAGGAGAGGGGAGGTGACTGGACGGCAGGGGCAGTCGAACACTTGCTGAGTTGACCGCAGGCAGTGCCCAGCGGCTGCCTCCTCGCTCTAGCTGAGCTGACCACAAGCTTCCAGGCCTCAGCTGGAGCTGCAGACTGATACTGGCTGTGTCGCTCCAAGATACAGAAGGAAGCGGGGTGGCAGGCTGACCTCAGCTAGCTGCCTGCCCCCTCTCCTCTGAGGCTGGCCTGGGACCCGATGGGGGCCTTCCCTCCAGGAGGGGTTTCCAGACCCCCTCCTTTCCCCTACATCCCTGTGGAGGAGAATGGCCCACCCCTCCAGATATGCTCCAGTGAAGTCAGAGTGGACACATAAATCTGGAGAGAAACGCTGGCAACAAAATCTGCTCAGAGATAAACAGACATGTTGCTGATGTGAAGCTCACTTGGTGAATGGCAGCAGCAGAATCCTGCACTTGGGTCTGGCATTCATGCACACCAGAGACCGCTGACCTCACCCGAGGTACAGGGGCTGCATCTGCACACAGCAGGTACAAATATGGGCACACGACAAAACGCCCACACAGGATAAGCATGCAGGAAGAACAGCACTCCAACAGGTCCACATGCACAAACGCATGTGCTGTATGACCCCCACACACAGCACGCATGTACAAACATCCAGACACACGTACACCCAGTCACTTACATACACAAGCAAGATCAACATGGGCACCTCCTAGAGACATAAACACAGACCCACTCAATAAATACAAAGGGAAATAGGCACAGAACTCACACACAGAGACAAATGAACACACATATGCAAATGTGTTCCTGAAGGCATCACCCCACCCATACAACTTACACGGAAACTCATGATCACACACGAACGCACACACAACACACACAGTGCTGAGCTGGCCTTGTAGTTAGCAAAACTTCCCTGAGAACTCCATTTTCCCTAAGTGCCAATTCCCCTAGGGAAGTCCCAAAGACACCGAGAAATGCAGATATGTCTCCAACCACCATCCTCCAGGGACACAGCGCCCCTTGCCATCTCTCTGAACCTAGGCCCGAGGGGTTCAAGAAGGGGCTGTGCCAGGCTGAATCGCTGGAGCTGGGCACCGAAAGGGAGCTCACCATCATGTCACTGCGCCAAGCACCAAGCAGAGCCGCTGCGAGACAGTGGGGAAGGGCCTGGGAGGAACAGCGGGGTTGACTTCTGCTGGAAATTGGCCCTTGCAGGCCTCCCTTCTCCCGGGATGCCTGTGATCGCTATACCTGGGCACATGGGCTTCGCCTGGCAACACCTGTGCTAGCCTGTAAGACCAACCTACCATTTTCTATCACTCTCCTCCCACTCCAAAGTTGGGTACCAAAGATTTGCTCCTGTACCCAGGCACACCTGCCCCCACTGGCACACCTGGGCACACCTGCCCCCACTGGCACACCTGGGCACACCTGCCCCCACCTACCATTGCCCATCGTCAACACCTGCACATTCTCAAATTCC